GAATGCATGATTTGCCATGGCAAGTTGGGCTGATGAAAAAATAAAAAGCAGCAAATACATAATGCAATCCAATCCCAACAAACAAGATAGTTAATGGTAGAAAATTTCATCCTGGATGAATCGGGGGGCCGCTTTCTCATGATTTCAATTATCTCCCTTTCAATACACAGCCTGTTTGTTTGTATGATTTTTTGCTTTACGGTTATCCCTGGAATTTTACTCTGTTAATATTTCCATGGTCTTGTGGTGGGTTTGCTCATCATCTACCCAGGTTATGATCATATACATGACTTTACAGGACCCTTCCTAGTACTCTTGATGAGGCCTGCAACATACACATGCTAGAGCAACTGTTACTTGTAATGCATCCTAAGAGCATGCTTTGTAGGTGCTTGAAAATAGGGACATAAAATGGGAAGAGGCCTCCTGGACCATTGAGTCCAGTGCCCTATATGTGGTTAACCATTTACCTGATTTTCCCGAAGTCACCACACCAACCCCTCACATACAGGTACAAAACCAGAAATACCACCCACACCCAACGCCATGCCATAAGTAAAAGCAAGGGAGTGTCAGTGTCCTGACACTGCAGTGATGGAGAAATAGATGGTTACCAAATGCTTTTAGTTGATCTGTGTTTCACTCCTTCATAGTCCCATTTGCAGACAGTTCATGTTTTTACAGATCTCTCTTCCCCCCTTCTCTCTACTTACAACTTCCATCCTTATCCATACAATGATCATCTTCCCACCAACCACACTGTTTGCTATTAGTCTTTCTCTGTTGCATGTCTTCCAGTGTGGAGACCTTAGGGACCTGATCTAAGGACTGTTTAAAGGCTCTCAGTTTAGTTTCTTAGAGATTCAGGAAAAGGAGGGGAGAAGTAGGCTTTTATACAAGAGCATGGGGAATCAGAAAGAGAAAAGCAGCACAGCCAGGCTCGCCCTACTAGTGGTTTACAATGTTTGCATTCTGCGCCTTTGGGAGTTGAATTTTATGTGAAGTTGAGGGAGCGGGAGGATGGCTTCTGCTCAGATTATCTATCACCACCATGTTACCCACAGGGGATTAGAGCAGCAGAAGCTATAAATAAAGGGAATTAAGCCTCTTGGAGTGGAAAGCCCCTGCCCTAGTGGAGAAGGAATGTATGAGATTTCTGTCTGCTTCAATGTCTGCTTGGCCCTTTGAATAAGCAAGGAGTAAAAGGATTTTTAAAAAGAGGGGGGAGGGGGAAAAAGGAAGATATAAATACTTACCTTGTTTTAGGACCTCAAATGCTGCCTTCAGTGTGCTGAGGGGAGAGAAAATACCAAACATACACTCATATTAATATGTCTCCTCAGGACAAATTAAATCTAGAGGAAAAAATTCTGCCACCAAAACTTTCCCTTCAAAGAACCACACAAAATAAAATCCTTGACAGTCTTGTTACAGAGGCTGACCATTCTAAAAGGGAAGATCACATTTCTCTGCTATAATTAGGAAGAGCAATAAATGCTTTATGAAGCAGGGAATTAGAAACTCCTCTGTTTGAACTATGCTATGCTCCTTAATCCCTAGCTACTATGCATGTTAGCATAAATGTCTCTGTGGTAGCATTTTGGGATGAACACACAGGGAACTCCAAAGGGCAAAGATGGGCAAGCCTGACCTAGTCAGAGCTGAATATTGGACTAACATGTTGTGTTTCCTCCTAGTTATCTTCACAGCAGAGGCTGCAGCTGGGCAACATAACACTACCTCCGTCCTGCACTTCTGCAGCACCCCTGTGTGGTGCCAGCTCAACATTGTGTAAAGACTCCAGCGCAAGATTTTTCTCAAAATGTTTTTCAGAACTACACAGAGGCCTGCCTGGAGATCTGGACCCTGCAGGTAGGCAGTGCCTGTTCACAGCCATACAATGTATGGATGAACCATATTCAGTGACCTATTTTGCAGTACTGGGTCATGGAGACTGGCAGGGCAGAATGGTATGCTGATCAATTTGAGAACGGTCAGATTGAACCAGCCCAGGGAGAGAGAGAGTTTTATAAAGGGGCTTTACAAGAAGCCAATAAAAAGCAGTAATATATTGTCTATTGTCCTGGGATAAATGAATAATACATCCTCTGGCACCTGAACAGGGGACAAGCTACAAATGTTTTAAGGAAGCAGCAGAATGACCAGCAGAGAGACAGCTAGAGTAAATCAAGTGAGAGATGATGACATGGGCATGTTAAGCACTCTCCTCCTCACCACCATGTTGCAGTGTTGCATCTCCATTGCACACAGGTCCAGGGAACCTGTTCATCAGTTTCTTTACCCAGAGGGGTATTGAATTTTGTAACTGCACCAAATTTAGAAAGTAAACTTTCCGGAGCAGAGACTATACTACCTCCTAAAGGTCTGTATTGGGGCTTTATGAAGGGAGGCATTGACGTGGCCTAGGGGAAAACCCATGAGAGGATAAGGAATACTCAGAAAAACCCGTTAATTGGTTTATTTAAAACCTGGAGCTTCCAGTGCCAAAAGTATGAGGTGTGGCCACCTAGAGATTGAGGAGATGGATGTGGCTGTACCAACCCATAGGTAACCAGCATGGGGAAATCCTACACAGCTTTGGCTACTTGAGAAGGCCTGAGGAACATGGAAGAACCCACTTCCTCCACAGTATTTTGGGGACAAGCTCACTCCTAGGAAAGCCTGATGACAGCCTGGGTTTCCAAGGAGTGAGCCTGTCTACAACCCACTCTCAATTCTCTATACCCTCTCTGGTGCTTCCTTCTTCCCTGTCCAATACTAACACTTACTGTGAGATTTCTGGCTGCTTTCTCTTTGGCTGAGACTTGGAGCACTGTTTCAAAGCTTTAAAAATATCCCAGGAGAGGCCTTCATATCAGATTTAAAGATCTGGCTTCTGCCTAGCTGTGATCAAGTTTTACATTTGAGGGGGGAAAAATACTATAGTGTGCAATCTAGGCAGAGCTAGTGGTGGGTTAGCCAAATGACAGCCTGCTACCCCTCAAGTCGTCATCTCAGGTGGACTTGGCAACCACAGCCTAGAGCTTACAACCCATGAGTTATGTGCTGATGCCATGATATGCACTTAGTCACAAGGGCAAAATGATTATCTAGATACAGAATTTAAGGGCCACATTGCATAAAGTAACTGGGCATGAGGTAATATGGTTAAATGGGAAGACTTCTTCAGGACCCTATGGAGCAAAAAATATTATGGGATATGGAAAATAACATGTAAGATCCAAAGATTAGCATGAACATCTCCTTGGGCACGTCCAGACAAGTGCGCATGTGCCTCTTGCAGCATCCTAAACCAGTTTGAGACATTGCAATAGGCACACTGGGAACAAAAAAATGCTCCCCACGCTGCATATTTGCAACGCAGGGTCAAAGTGTGATACCTGGAGATCAGCCATGTAATTGATAAGTGTGATGCTGATTTGTTTACAGAAGATGCACATACAACACAAATAGACCTTTTCTTTTGTGTCTGTAGTAAAGGTGGGGAACAGCATTACCAAACTTATTAGAAGAAAACAAATATTTAAATAATACATAGAACTGTGAACCACAAAGATGATTACAGGATACTAAGAGTCATTAAGGCTATTTGCATAGTCTATTGATCTCCTATTCTCAGAGTTGTTCCTGGACCCTGAGGTATCTGTGTGCCAGGCATAGTCAAATTGCTGTATTAGATACTGAAGAAAGATGCATTCTTAGTACAAGTATTTAAAATAGTTTTCTTTCTTTATTTTTTTTTAAAACATCGGTTTGTATAATTCCTCTCTTATGGGCCCATCAGAAATAGTAAATACAAACTTTGTAGGAGGTGAGGGAGGACAGGAAGGTCAAATTCTAGGCTAGGGAACCTTCAAGTATTCCTTTAAACACTTCAGCACTCCAGTATATACCACGTCAGCTTCAGATGCCACCCATAAACCACCTTTTAAAGGTCTGATTCCAAAACATCAGGGTGCAGTAGCAAAGGAGTTATGGAAAGAATCCCATTTGACAGAGATGTAGATGAGATGTTTGTAATTTAATTTGGCTAATACTCTTGAATACATGGCAACTAAATGAAAACTCTCATTTCAGAGCTCCTTTCCATGTGAGTACGATTTCCTATTGAGAGTCATCATTTCTTTGTTCTGATGCCATGGGGGTGGGAATGCCTCTGCTTCCGGCCATTTTAACAAAATTCTTTCTCCCTAAAGCCACGTTTTTATGAAGAAACATGTGCTGCATGGGGCTCTGTGGATACAATGGATCTTTCAGTTCCATGGCCAGGCTGAAAATCCAAAAAAAATGAGTTTGGGGTCAATCAATACTTCACTATTTGGCAACTTTAGCAACGCTATTCATGAAAAAACCCACATTGCCCAGCATTAGTGTGTCTGTTTCAAATTTAGGGGATTATTTAAACTAAACAAATTGGTTAAAGACAAAACACCAGCATTAAATGTTAACCTCCCCACGGTCAGTCCACTTGCTAATATCCTTATGGAATGGGAATGGTGAGAATTGTATTGTTCATGTTTAAAGCTCTTCCATTCTCCCCAGCCCTAGTCAGGCTTAGATTTAAAGACCTTGATGTTAAAGGAATTTCTGGGGGGGGGAGATAAACAGACCAAACATGGGGCTGGAGTAAGGAGTAAAGCACCAGCAGATGAAACGGTAACTAGAAGCAACTCCTGGTGATTTTTGCCATCTAGTGGCTGATGCATTATAATCTTTCAGTTAACCAGAAGGCTAACATCTAGCAGAGGCTATGGTACTTGTGGCATTCTGACTTTCACAACATTTCTGCACATTTTAGAAGAACTGATAGCTTCTTAACACATCCTCAATGTAAATTGTTTTCATATATTTATTTCTCTTGTGGGGTGTTGGTTCCCAAGGCAATGAAGATATGCTTCTCATTCCTGGATTACTTTATACCCTGGGTGAAAATATGAAAATACACATTACAGTAAAGGGATGACTTTTGTAGGAGCTGGGTTTCATTACACAGAGGTCTTCCTCTGTAGATCTGAAATCACTTTGCAAGACAGTGAAGCAATCCCCATGGTCACTCAGCAAGACGGTGGCAGAGTTGGAGATGTAATCCCAAATTTCTCAAATTCCACTCTCCACTAAGAGACACCACCTCTCTTTGTAAACTCATTGACCACTGAAAGGATGGATCACTTGAAAATTAGTGCCATTTTTCTTCCCTTAGGTTCTGTTCTCTTTGCTGTTCCATCTCTCCAAGCTGACCAGTCATTTTGCATTTTAATGGATGTCCCTCACACGATGTATAGTGGTCCACACAATATATGGAGCATGTGAGCAACACCAGACCAGATTATAATTCCTTTCTCAATCCCTGATTATGCATCATATTTTACAGTATAATTAGATGTAGGATTTTTGTATGGGTAATGAAATGATGTGGGATGATGACCCTTAAAACCCTTATTTTTTTATTAGCCAGAAGTTCAGGTCCACCCTGCAGCCCTCCTTTGGAGTATTCTCTCTTTGTTTTTTAAACTTAGACTCCACTAGGCATTTGTATACTTGTTTTCCAAAACCAGTAGAGCTGCATCAGTGCCAGGAAGTCTCAAGCTCTACACTAGATGGGACCCAAGTATTTTTCTCACTGTGTAAAAAAACAAAAAACAACTTGATTTCATGATGGTAAGAGGCTAATTACCAAAACTACTGCAGCTCACACTGTTGTGAAACAGGTACAAAGTGTTATAATTATGAGTGACAGCAGACTCATCTCTCTTTTTGGCTTATCTCTAAGCCTTACCTATTCTTTCTGTCCCCTCCAAGCCCATTTCACACCATTCATTATTACATTTATATTTACTTCCAAGTTTTGTTTTGTGGGGGGGTTGTTTTTTTACCTTTGGGGTACATTCAAACTATACCAGCCTCCTTCCTGACTTGGTGTTACAGGGATAGTGTATATAATAGCCCACTGAGCTTAGACAGATTTTTTTTTTACTGAAAATGTGGCATCTTTGTTGTAGGGTTGTTGGTTGTAGTTGTGTTGCTCTAAGGATATAGGCAGACCAGGTTCTTTGGGTAGAGACCAACTAAATAGTTGGAAAACATTTATTAGCAAGCTTTTGGGCATCAACACCCTTCTTTGGGTATAGAGAGAGACTGCTGGTGTTTGTGTGCTCTCCTGGGTAGAATAGAAGCCAATATGCAAAATACAGGTCTGTGAAAATGCAAATACACAGCAGTGAGGATCAGAGGGATGGGAGACAATAGATGAGAGAGGTGGGGGAGGAAAAG